GTTAACATATTTAACATTGAATTGCTTACATTGGTTTTTCTTGTGTGTTTCCCCTACAGCTTGTGTTGTGCTTCCAGTGTCTGCATCCTCTTTTACGTGTTAATTGCTACATAATCCCTTAGGGAATGTGGTTTTGGGGGACACCATATGCGTGTGTTATCTATTTGCAACATATTACTCAGCAACTATCAGGAGAAATGGAGCATCCACCAATTTATTGAAACTGGGAGATGTGTGCGAGCTATATGAAAGTAAAAATTTGGTTCAAATAGAGCTTAGAGGCACATGACATACGTTGTAGGCCGGGGTCACACCGCTTATATATCATACAAAAGACAGACTGTAAACACCAGCCTGACACTTTCGTTTGAATAGTTTGCGTAACAACGACTGAATTAGGTGATGTTTGATTCGTTACTGTAGCAAACTCACCCAAGAAACAGCGACAAACAGCCGCTGGCGATGACTACCGATGCAAAAAGATTGTCTACCCATCATGTGAATTCTCTCCACCATTCGTAGTCGTCTCTTTCAGCTCTCCCTATCTTCGCTCGGTCTTTCCATACAGCCCCTACGCAAAGCCAGAGTTTATATGGAAGCGTGATTGTAAACCCGAATTAATGTTGGTGCAACCGGAATTTAAACCCGTGCAAGTTAAGTTTTGATTGCTATGTCGGTGGTTGAGGTGGTGGTTGGAGCTTTATTTCCAATAGAGGTTAAAACACCGACGGGTCCCGGTCGGAGGCCTCCCGCCAGGGCCCCGTTGTCATCCCCAACCCAGCGGTCACGGCCAACTAGCTCACACTAATCCACGTAATCTGGGCTGGACCGGGCGGCCTCCCATGAGCTTGGTTTGAGCGAGAGAGTGAGGATGGTGTCCCTGCCCGGAGGTCTGGGCATTCCAAGACGGTGTGGTATTCCGTGGGGCAGCGACTCCCCCAGCTCGGGTAGGTGCCCAGAATAGGAAAAAACCGCTTAGGGTTAAAGGCCGACGACCAGACTCGAGATTCTGCACGGCAGAAGATCCTCCTCACTTTGAAACAGGCAACGGTGGACAGGGTAGAAAGGGGAAGGGAAGGAAGCGAGGGAAAAGTGGAAAGCGCGAACTGGTCTTCGGTCTTTAAGGTAAACGATGTTAATGCAATCGTCCCTAAGCCGTGCTGTTAGTCGATTACGAGTCATATATACGATCGTTAACGGCGAGAGCATTGTTTTGGGGGTATATAATTTACTGGAACGTTCGAACTACGCAACCACGTTATTTTTATTCCAAGGTGCGCTCTCGCAAGGGCTGAAACGACAGCACATTTAAACCGCGCGAAATTTAGCTGTTTGACAATGCACTCACCGGGGAAGACATAATAAAGGGAAGACACTAATAACTGAGGCTGCGCTTCTGCGGTCCTTCGCTGCGGACAACGTCGTAATGGGATGGCCTTTCGACGTCTATTTCATGAAGGCCACATTCCGTTGATTAAATTGAAACGAATCTCGATCCCTCACTCGGCACTTGGTTGTAGCGGAACTCGACCTCCTCGCTTCCCTGCACCTAGGAAAACACTGTTTTCTTATTTCAGACGTCTCCTTGGCACAATGAACACGTTGGCCCTCAGTGGGCCGCCACTTCTGTTCAACGACGTCCTCTACAGTCCGTTCCTTTCTTTTTCGAGGCATTGTAAAGAAGACCGAAGCACGTTTAGTAAGCGTGCGACTTCTTTCATAGTCCCCTTTAGAATATATGCCTCTGTTGCAAGCCATGAAATCCCTGCACAGTTGCGGACTAATAGGGAACTTCTTGCGTTCGAGTGCGCCTATGCTGCACAGGCGTACATGCAGCGTCGAGCGCCGGACAAGGTGTCTGCTTGACAATAAAGATTTCTCTCCGTCACTGTTAAGTAACGAAGGATTTTGTTAGGAATAAGTAAGATTTGTTTTAGAAAAGTCTATCGTTCTACAGTTGCGTCGGCATTGTTTTGTTTAAGCTTTCTTCGTGAGTGTCGGCGTTTTGGAGGGAGCATTTGCGTGGGCAGAGCGACCGGGAGGTGGGAGCGGTTTCCCCCGCGGTCGTTAAGAAACGTCTCGGGTTTCGGGAGTCTGCTCGGACAGATCCCTTCTTGCAGCTGGTCGTGGCTTTTAGCCGAATGTGCCTGTATATAGAGGGTTTTGTCACTTTGTGTAAAATTGTCGCTTTTTGCCCGATGCAATAACTTAGCGGTTGGCGCCAGTCAGACTGGGAAAATTGCAGAGAACTCTACAAGGAATCTAGGTTTGGCGGTTGGAGCGCCAGGATGACAGCTCGCCGACCATTGGATAACAGTGCACCACGTGTGAATAGTGGAATTTGAAGTGATTGGTCCGTCTCTGGAGGGAAAGGAGGCCTCTGCGAGTCTAGAAAAGGGCTGCCGAGAGGATTCTAGGGGGAATTCGGCTCTTGAGACTGGGGACTAAACTATGGGGTTTTCATTTTGGAAGTTTTGTATATTACCGTTGACTTGTCGTTTAGTCTTCAAAATAAACGTGGCCACACTGGCCATCGTAAACCAACCACGTCGTAATGTGTGTCCAGCGGGATCGAGCAACTTTTCGTTGTTTTTTTTTTTCGTATTCTGCTTCCCGGGGGACTCCCATCGCGCGCACACCATCATCGGTCGTCACCATCCTCAATGACCGGCCCCCTCTACCCTCCCTCGTAAAGTTGACTCTCACTCTCTCTTGCAGCGGGGGAGCGAGAGGTGAAGCTACCGGGTCGCGTTCCTTGTGCGTTCCGCAGCGTCGATTGGCAAAAATAATTTCTTTGCATTTAAGGATCGTTTCACGTGTACCACATTGCCTTCTAATGTCTACAGATCCGCAGCGTTGTGAATCTGTAGACATAATGTCTACAGACATTAGGATAATCTCTGCAGACATTGTTCTAATGGGTATTAGTTCACAGCGAGTGATTTAATTACTCAGCACACGCTTGTTCCTTGATTTGTAGAGCGAGTAAAATCACTAGCAATGCGCATGAACATTCAAAACGGCACCGGTCAAAAGCCTTTGATTACAACGGCTTATGCGGCACCCAAGTTCGTCCACTTTTTGCATATATTACCCTTTTTTTAGATTTCTAGGTCCCTATTATCGACGCGATATTTTGGTGGCGCCTTTTTAAGTTTCCCTTCCTCGACGTCACGACCAGTATTTTCCTCGACGTGACGTCATGAGTTGCAATCTTTGACAACTTTTCATCAGTTGCGAACTGCAGGTTCGACGGTATGTGTGAAAATAACAATGAAAGCTTCGAGTCATTGCATGCTTAAACCAACATCGCCAAAGGTGACACTGACGTTGCGCCGATTTCCGCTGATGAAAGAAAAATTAATTCAAATAAAGACGTCACAGTGAGCGTTTGGCCAATGGCAAATAAACCGATCTCGTTCCACGCATGCGCGACGCCGGCATAACTCTAGTTCATAGGAGGCAGGCACCAGTTCACGAGACAGCTCGTGCTACGTCGGGCTCTGCTTGCGCAGAACATCAGTGGGGTTATCGCGCGTGCAGAATGGTTGCAGCTCCCACGATGCATGGCTCCAGCGGTGGCGTAATAAAACTGGCTGCGAGATCAGTCCATTGCGACGCATTTTGTAGTGCAAATACTCTCCGAAGACAAAGTTGGAGCCGAGCTTAAAAGAGCGTGACAGCTGGACTTTCAAGACAATAACGCGGAGTTTTTGTCGCCTAAGTACAAGAGGCGCACAGTCAACTTTCCGTGGGGGTGGGCGCGTCCTGGTCCGGATGGTGACGACCGATGACGTACGGTGCTCGCCCGATGACAGCCCCCGGGAAGTTGATAATAAAAAAAAAAAACTAAACTAAAAGTTGTTCGATCCCGCTGAACACATTGCGATGTTGGTTGACTTTACGGTGGCCAGTGTGGCCACGTTTATTATGAAACAAAACAACTCAACAATGAGTGAAAATCCCAAAATTAAACCCCGTACTTTTGTTCCCAGTCTCCCAAAATCGAATCGAAGCCAATCCCCCAGAATCCCTCTCGGGGATCCTTTTGTAGCCTCGTAGGGGCCTCCTTTCCCCTCAGGGTCCAACCAATCCCTTCAAATTTCACCTCTCCCACGTGGTACACTGTTCTGCAATGGTCGACAAGCTGTCAGCCTAGCACTTCCAACGGCCAAATCCAAATTCTTTCTGGAATCAACCCCTGCATTTTACGCAGACGGACTGGCGCCAACAGCTAAATTATTACAACGGGTAAAAGGCGACAATTTGATACTAAGCGGCAAAAACCTCTATGTACAGGGACATTCGGCTAAAAGCTACAAGCCTCTCCAAGCGCGGGCTGTCCCGCTCCCGGTCCGAGCAGGCTGCCGAAACCCAAGACGCTTCTTAACGACCGCGGGGGGGACCGCTCCCGCGTCGCGGCCGCTCTGGCCCCGCCGACACAAACATAGAAAGCTAAAAAAAACAATGCCGCCGCTACTCTGGAAAGATAAACTTTCGTAACAAAAATCACCTTAACTAATAAGCAGGATTTTTACAAACTTAACACGCACTTCGCGAACTTTCGGTTCCAGCTCTGTGTTTGCGAGTCCTGAGCGCCACATGCGCCTACATGTTTTTGTTTCCGCTGATCCCATCGAATGAGGCGCGCGCTTGTCTGCCTCGTCATCACCAGTTCTCTGCGAATTCTTCTTATTTTATGTCCCTTTAGTCTACGTGCCGCTTTCACGCCAAATGCACACTGGCGGTTAAACAGCATTCACAAAGGGGTCGCGAACGCGGTTGCTTTTAAAGATCCAGTATAATTTCACGTGTGTTTGATGATGAAAACGAGCGGAAACGATTCGCGGTTGCGATTCGAACGCAGGTGGCGATGCGCCTTAAGTGTTCCAATGCGCCGAAAACGCTTTTTAGAACACTTGCTCGGCGAATAGCCGCCGGCCGCAGGCCCAAACAACAAGTGCGAACTTCCGTCGATAGATGTCGCAGCCCCCAATGATCCCGAGGCGCGCGCCAAGTGCGGTGCCGCGGCGGAGCGGCGGGTGCCCGGCGCCGCGCTTCTCCGATGGCAGCGTCAGTCGCGCACGTGCTGCGCTGCCACGGGAGTCGCTCCCGCAGGCCTCCCTCCAGGACACGGCGACCTACGGACATGTCGGCCTCTAGCTCCGGGAGCCTGGCCCTGTACGGTGCCTTGGTGCTCGTGTACCTGGGCCTGACGGCAGACTTCTACCTCACGTACCGCCTGACCACCGACGTGGACGTCCTGCGAGCGATGTTGGTGGACAGTGGGTCGCGGGGAGACCGGACTGTGCCGTTGGCGAGGACCAAGAGACGCGTGCGGAGGCATCGGCGCGGCGGCGGCGATGACCAGCCGCGCGAAGCGGTCGACGACGACGACGCCGAGGATAGCAACGTGCCCAGCGTGGAGTTCTTTCCCAAACCGCAGCAGGCGCCCGGAACGACACACGGCGGGGAAGGATACGTGTGGCTCACGTCCTACTCCCGGATACCCGTGAGTGTGCTCTTCGTGTCTCGTTTACATCGTACTATACTGTCTTACTGCAGTCGCCTCAGCAATCGGGATCGAAAAAAACCTTTTGAAACTGGCCACTGTGTCAGAGTCTGACTTGTACGTCGCGAGTTACAAGTAACTGATTACTTGTAGTAAATTGCATTTTATTGTAACTTTATCACTCTTTAATTACTTTCTTTTTCCGGTTACGTTTCCTGTAATTCAATTACTATTTTCGTACTAAGTTACAAGCAATCACTTATTTTTCTTTCTAAAAAACTAAAATTATTGACGTGATTTTTTTTTTATTATTTTTACAAAAAGTCGCTCATTTTGTTTTTGTGTTACTCCTCTATGTTACACCAACGCTGCACATTTTATTTTTACTCACATGAACAACTAAACAAAAATATCAAGATACGAGAAGGATTCGAATGCCAACGCGCTCAGCGACGTTTTGACAGACGAGCTGTCGAGTGCCTCGTTTCCTGTGCACGGTTTGTTACGATTTGGGTTCGGTGCGGCATAGACGACTATGTTCTGCATTGACCTCCTATTGTAACGTAAAAAGTAATCAATTACTTTCTTGTAATTTTTAATTACTTTTGCGATGCAGTAGTTGATTACTGTTATCAAATTTTCAATAAAGCTTTTGTAATTGTAATCGCTTACTTTTTTTCGTAACACGTACGAGACTGCTAAGAGTTCGCCAGCGGCTAGGTTGATTTTGCCTCTCTGTTCAGCTACGTCGTGGCGCGTTGTCAAGGCCACGCTTCCTTGTCACGTGTCGACACGCCTCTCGCTCCAGCTGCGTCGACCAGAGTGCCGCGATTATTTGCGTCCGAGCTCGGCGTGAATGTGACGTCTTTATTTCGTGTATGTCCAACCCTCCCGTCATTAACCAGACGATTGCGTCAACCGTTCTGGTGGTTGAAGCGCTGGGGAAATTGAACCGCCCGACTTTATTTATTTATTTATTTTTTTACTTAGAGTCGGTGACAGGTGATGAGTTCAAGTAAAGCTCCCTTCAACCCTTTGCACTTTAGCAGAGCGAACGCTGGCGAAGAGGTTTCCTTCACTCCAGCCTTCGCACTCGTAAAGTGGAAAGAAGTTGGAGGACTTTACCCTGAACTCTCTTAACCTGTCACTGACTTTAGTTCCTCCGGCGTAGCTTTCTGCAGACACGTCGCATTTTTCGGTACATCCCCAATTCGCCGTTTCGCCACGAAGCAACGATAAACCGCTACCAGCTCTCGCAGCCACATTTCCTTCTTTCGTCGTCCTCGTTGCCCCCCTGAGTGTTTTTTTTTTTTTTAATGTTTTGTCGAATAATTTTGTTCCTTTCTTCTCTAGGAACGTACAGTTGTTTGATACAAAATGCGCTGTCGCACGTCGATCCAGTGTACGTCAGAATTGGGGTGGTATCGCGGGTGGCGGGTGGGTAGACACATTTAAACACCTCCGCTGACGTTCTGATCCTCCACTCCCTGCCTGCTATACGGCGCTGTCGGTACTGCCTCGTCGCCATTTGCGCATGCGAGCTCATATCGCTAGCCGCTGAACTACTACGTACCACGACGTCTCACGCAATCCTTATGATTGCTACAAACGAACGCATCAAAAGTCTTGGCCCACAAAAGTATGAAGCGTGATGTGTAGAATATTTAGACGGTTGGTCAAGGAACAAACGTTCGATGCTTTACATATTCAGGACGAAACCCACTGACACACAAACACGTGCACGTGCAATTACACACCCACATACTCATTCACTGGCGTACACACACACAGACAAAAACGCCTCGAGTGGATGGGCATTAATGAAATGAATTCAACCCCAATGAAATGTAACCCGACCTGACACACCCAGACAGCGTTTGGACAAACGCGGATATGGGGCTGTTGCCTGAGGTCAGACATTTCGTTTGTAACGCAAGTGTTATATTGGCGAGGAGTTGAAACTATAGGGGGCGCTTTTTCCGGTTGACTTTCCCCACAGCTTGGTGTTACCCAACAGAAATCCCGTGGACTTTATCTTTTTTATGTAACGTAGTAAATCTTGACAACAAATGGAGTAACGTTGGCGGAACGCGACAAACCTGATCTGTGTTGAAAGCAGTGGTCGAAGGAATCGAGCTTGAATTATTTTGGCCTATGTGCTGAGCAGATGCTGGACACACGCACGGCGCATTGTGTGTTGCTCAAGCAGGCCAGACTGGCTACACAAGAGCCCCTCCACGGGCTAGGGAAGAACACAACCCACAGCCGAACGCTCACGCCGCGCTCGGCTTTTGTTATCGTTGTTGTGGTCCCCCACGGGTAAGTTTCTAAGTTATCCGCTAGAGGCACGACAGTTGAATCCCCTGCCCAATACGTCGCAAAATCGTCATTTAGTATAATAAAAAATTGCAACTTCGCCTCATGGATGTTTAGAAAGCGGCATCAGGTATCCGCGTTGTGCATACATTGGAAATATGGCCAGTGCGTCTTTCCTGAGTACTGCAGCGCAAGCTCTCACTCCTCGTGTTCGGAGAAGAGGTGAGCTAACATACAGAAGAACGGTGATATTTGAACGCGAAACAAAATCTTGTACCCTAATAATGTTACGCAGTTAATGTTGTCTGGTCAATAAACCAAGTTAACACAGCTACATCGGTCCAACAGTATGCGCTAAAAGGTCCAGGATATTGAATATTTCTATAAGTGCCTGCCACATCCGTGCATATATTGAGACAATTTTTATTGGAAATGGTAACGTCTTAACGCTAAACTCCATGGGGTTAATTGCAGCGAAAAATCTACGAATTTCGCCCGGCGACTCTTCACTCTTCCCGTGGCATCAGCCCTAGCGTCTGCCGCATCGCGCGACGAGCGAGCGTGACGCCGGGCGAATTTCGTCAGTTATTCGTCGCATATTCGCTCCATGGAGTTCAGCCTTTACTGAACAGAATGAGAAAAGTAAGGCTTACTCCTACGTGACCTCGCGGCACTTGTTTACTGATCATCCTGCACACAAGGGGGAGTCGATTACCGACCACGGAGGATCGACGACCGAACGTGTTGGAACACCGCAGCTCAGATAGCGGGGGAAGAAGGCTCGAGCTGCCGAACCCAGGGGTCCTGGGTTCAGTCCCCACCCCTGCCCGTTTCGATCTGAATGGGCACCGTACTGGCGTGCGGTCGTGTATCACTACATTGTGGTGCACGTTGAAGTCCGAAGGCTTGAGTTAGAGCACTAGATAGATTTGTGAATGGCAGTGGAGACAGCGGTTGCCCGTTGGGGCTCGCTCACTTCCCTTTCTCTAGAGAAACACACAATATAATTTGTGTCAGTGTATGTATGAAGGGGACCAAAAACGTATTTTTTTAGAGCGCAGCTCTTAGGCGCCCAGTTCCGGCTTGAGCGGCGTCGCCGTCGGCGTTGGCGTAACCGCGCGGTGCATTATGGGTAAATTTCCCCGTAAAATCTAGCGGAAAATTTTCCCGCTAAATTTAGCGGAAAATTTTCCCGCTGAATTTAGCGAAAAATTTCACCCGTTAAAATTACCGGAAATTTTCCCCACTAAATTTAATGGAAAATTTTCCCCGATAAATTTAGCGGGAAAATTTCCCCGCTTTCCCGTTAAATATAGTTCAAAAAATTTTCCGCTACATTTAGCGGAAAATATTCCCCGCTAAATTTAGCGGTAAACTTCCCCGCTAAATTTAGCGGAAAAACTTCTCCGCTAAATTTAGCCGAAAATATTCCCCGCTAAATTTAGCGGTAAACTTCCCCGCTAAATTTAGCGGAAAAACTTCTCCGCTAAATTTAGCCGAAAATATTCCCCGCTAAATTTAGCGGGAACATTTCCCCACTATTTTCACCGGAAAAAAATTCCAAGCTAAATTTAGCGGAAAAAGTGTCCGGCTAAATATAGCGGAAAACATTTTCCCGCTAAATTTAGCGGAAATAGTTCCCCGCTAAATTCAGCGGAAAATTTTTCCGCTAAATTTAGCGAAAAAAATTCCCCGCTAAATTGACCAGAAAAAATTTCCCCGCTAAATTTAACAGAAAAATTTCCCCGCTAAATTTAGCGGAAAAACTTCCCTACTAAATTTAGCGAAAAATTTTCCCCTAAACGGGAGGCGCGCAGGAGAGGAGAAGGGGCATAGCCTCCTCTCCGTACCTTCCCTTCCTCCTCCTCAAGAGCTGCGCTCTAATTCGGCGTTACAGGGAGTTATAAACGGCTTTCATTTTTTTTACTTACACTAAATACTTTTCAGGATGAATCATTGGCGTGCATAATGCAGGAAATGCTCGAAGGCGCATTTCGTGCATTATGTTTTATTGAGCAGCGTTCACCCATTCAGGAAACACTAAACTGCCAAGAAAGTGTTTTCTTTTTTAGTAATGTGACTAAATATAGTTTCTATATATTAAATAATGTGTCGACAAAAAACAAAAATACTAGCGTAATATTGACGTGGGAGACACTTTTTGGGGTATGGAATGATCCTGGAACACGCTTCTCTTTTGGCACATCGACCAGGAAAAGCGATTATGTTTTGGAATCACTTCTATGAACACTATAAACATCCAAAAGTTTTTTTCAACTTAACGATTGCACGACCTAAGCTCCACGAAACTCGCATAGATTAAGAAAAAAAAATTTAAGCTCTAAAACAAAAAAAGACACACAAAAAATATACAAGTTAGGAACGAATACTTTTATTGTTTGCTGCCTCTTGAAATCTGTAGTCGTTCTGAAATTAAAAAAGAATCTAAAGCAAACCGTCTTTATTTTGAAAAAAGAAAACGGAAGAAAAGAAACGCGCATGAATTGCAGGGAGGTAAGCCGCGAACGTCTATGCCGCTTTTTATCTTTCACTTTAGAGTGTGCCGCCGTTTACTCCCGTGGATTATCTTCCTTCATTTCAGGTTGTATTTGTTTCTTCACCTCCAATGTTTACCCCCTAAAGGTAAAAAAAAAAAGTACAAATAAAATGCGTCGTTACATCAT